TTACACTACTGCACACACACACACACACACACAATGTGCATATATACACTTGAAGACCCTCTCTTCATTTGTTATAAACAGTCTCCCGACAATCCCCGTTCGGTTGCGTTCTCTTAACGCGGTACAGGCAGCGCTTGATTCAAGACGGAACTTTCAATGGCAGTGGCATTATCAATAATTTGATAAATTATATAGACGGGCAAGAAGAACTGTATTCTTTGAGAGTGAATAAAATATATGAAGGCATACAGCTTTCCAACAAATTAGGAAAACATCCACCGCATAAGAAAATTTCTGTAGTATTTCGACGAATTTGTTTGTTATATGTAATAATTTAAGTAATTTTCGAATACTTTTTGTGCGGTTATTTTTATGCGGTCCCTATCTACCGCACAAAAACAGGTTCTACTGTTTATCATTCTTTCTTGATCTTTTGCCAAAATGTTGCATTAAAATTTTTTCTGGTAATAATATTCTTAAAACAATTGTATGTGTTCTAATTTAACTGACACTAATAGAATTAATCATTTATACGTTTATTCAAAATCACGGTTTTGAACGTATTTTGTCACCTGTGAAGTCCTACAAAAACATTTTATCTGTATAAAAATTACCAAAAAGTCTTTGTTCGTATATTTTCAAAACACACACCCGCGTAGTACTCCAGCTTTTATTGTGTCGAATCATCCATTGTGCAGTAACTCACCCCCTTTTGGTTTGAAAAAACTATTTGTGGGAAGAAAAAAGTCGCGGATGGTTTGATTGATGAAGGAATTTGATTGTTTTTGGAAATGGTTCAAAACGGATGCGGCTCAAAAAATAATATAAGAGGACTTATTGTTTGCTCTCATAGTTCTGGTGAAAGAAAAAACGGTTTAATTTCGGGGTTCCCCCCCCCCCCGAGGGTGGAAAATAACTTTTTAGTGTTTTAGAGGGGATTGAAAGAAAAATATCTCGCTGAAGGGAAAAAATAATTGGAATATCTCTGAAATTATTTATGTTCTTACAGTAAAAATAATTAATTTCTCTTATATATATATTACGAAAAATGCAAAAGAAAGCTATTGAAAAATTATTGCTTAAACATGAGTCATTTCGACTCAGAATAGTGGCCGTGGTAGCCGAGTGGTATAGGTATCGGATCGTGGCTGGCCTTGTCACGAGTTCGAGCCCAGTATCACTAAAGACCCGCCGTGTAGGGCAGCGATGCACGTTAAATCTGTCGAGAGCTGAAACGTCCTCCCGTTGGTGTGGTGAGGGGGAGTGGAGAGGGGGAGTGCCAGCTCAGGTGTCGTCCACGTCACTTGATCATGGTTCAAAATTGCGTGGTCCGTCGCCAAAAGCCCTCGTGCAGCTGAACAGTGCGACGTTAATATTCAATCACTCAGAATAATGAAAACATGTTGATACATACTGGGTGATTCTTTTAAACTGACACTATTCAGAACCACCTGTAGCTCGACTTAACAACCGCAATGGCACCTAACTTGGTATGGATACTAATGATATTAAAATAAGATCCCGTGAAAACACACACACACAAAAGTTGTACCAAAAATCCCTGGTAGGGGTATTTATGGCACTGTACCTAGTAAAAAGTGTTATAAAAAGAAAATATGAATAACGCCTAAAATAACAGTGGAATGTTAAATTTCATTCATTTCCCTGGCCGGAACACCAATATAGCCATCCTTCTTGGAGACTGCCCCATGCATTTTCTGTATCAGAGATCACCGAAGTGGTCTTCTGTGGACCACTCGTCGTACGCGAGAAAATTTCTCTGGTCCCCAGAAAAATGTGTGAAATATACTTACTCATCACGTTAAATTATGTAATAAGATGCATTGACATATTTTCCCTGTTAAATGAACTAAACATATCCTTGCAAGGACAACAAGGACGTGTTCACCCTACGAAGAAAAATGGATGCGTTTGAAAGAAAATATTACTGTGGCTAACGCGCTTGTTGAAGACGATCTGCAAATGTTTTCTAATTTGTATGAAATACATGAAGGAAAATGATGTTAACTAGCAAGTAGTAACCCTAGTTAAAAATCATTTGGAATCAATTATATAATTTTTTGCTCATTATTACCCAACGAATGAAGATCCCTGACATTTTAATATGTGGAGATAATAGATCCGTTTGCAGCGAAAATTCAAGATAATAATATAAAAAAATGTATCTAAAAGAAAGCCTTATTTTCTTATCGTCCAACTCTACACTCTCACAAATTTAAATTTTATTCATCCTTATTAAGATCTCAGTTTTGGCTTTCCGGGAAAATTAATATTCTTATAGTGAACAGACGATGAAAATTCTGATTGAAAATTCTCCTCAACTTATTTATGTGAAAATCCCTTTTCATCTGTCACGGTACCGATCTCAGATTGAAATAAATGCAGTTCTCCGTCTTAGTCACAACATTGGATCCAAATATCCGTAATCTTATTTCAGGTAAGCATCCCACTAGGAATGCATAATGCTCTAAGAGTTTAATATATTTAAAACATTTTTTAATTGTTTTTACAGTTTTTGTTTATTTTGTTATGGTCTATTAAAAAAGCTTTCATAATTTGTTACAATTAATAGTTTCATTTTATTAATTAAGTACATTTTATGTGTTCTAAGATGACAATTTTTTTTATAAATATATTTAACACATAAAAATTCATAATAGCGGTCCGCGGGATTTTAATTATGAATTTACTGGTCCGTGAGGTCAAAAAGTTAGACGATCGCTGTTCTACATTGTACGTGATATGTGTACAAACAATGATCACTTGTGATCCTTTGAGGAAATGCATTTGACACATTTGTTATTACCTCTTCAAACACAGACTTACGTCCTTTGCTTTGGCAAATTGTTAGCGCCTGTTTCTTCGAATTTCTTAACCGTTCTTTGGAAAGCATACTTGTAATGCTTCTGCCTTTACTTAGTTCAAGAGGATATGTGGATGAGATTAAGGCTGTCTTCAACTGATGTTAAAGAATATGAGCCAATTCGGAATATTTTCAGATAAAAAAAAGTACTTAAACATTAATATTATATTCTAGCTTCACTATCCAGTACAGAATCACTTATTTTATCATACTACTCATTTTTACCCGAGTTGATAC